CACAGCCGACGTCCCCACCGCGCTCTCTGTGCCCACCCCACCTGCAAGCGCAGTCTGTCAGCTGACCTGTCGGTTTAAGACCCTTTAACAAGCAGACCCCTAAGTCTAATTCTCCTCTTGACAGTCTTTAAAGGCTGTGTAAAAAAAAAGATCCAACTTAGAAACTGTGCTCTTTTGTCCCTGGCCCTGAGGATTCCACCTCAGGTATATTTTGCTCTTTCCTCCCTGGGCCCCATGACTGTTTTCATTTCTGTCAGTATTTGACTCATTCTCTCAGTATCAGAGATGAAGCTGAAATCGGCACATCGAGAAGCTTATTGACACATTTGACAGGTGTTTCAATACAGTGTGTGTGACTTGGTGTATTGGATCAGGAAAAAAAGTTTGAGGGTTGAGTGGTTAACATGAATGAAAGACATTAAATATCATAAACTGTGTAATGTCATAAAAATATAAAGAAACGAACACTTTCTGTGCACTTAGCTACACGGAGTCTGATTCTTCTGTGATTCATAAATTTTGTGCATAAATCAGGCAATTAGATGTTAAATGCATCTAAGTACGGATACACAGAAAACATCAACAACCAAACTCTAGAACCAGTTCCTTTTTGAACCCATAATACTATAACCAAAATGATAAAATTGAACTTGGACAGTCAGTAAGAAAGAAAAATAGTCAATACTTTAATTAAACCACATTGACTGAAACGTGGAATTTGTAGCTCACACAAGATGGTGCTACAGTTCTTTCTGTAAAGTACGTAACATCTAGTTCTTTGGGTTCTCCTAAAGAAATAATCCTAATAATAACCAATATAATTACGTTAGAGATATTACTGGTATACCTAGTTTTTTCTATGCTACAAAGAATTTCTGCGTATTTTTATATTTTATACTATATTTACTTTTAGTCTATCAATGTTAAAGAAAAAAGGTTAAAAGAATGTCACAAAAATAAAATTTTGATACAGTCGAAAAATAGTGAAGACGAGGTAAACTGCCGATGCATATTAATAAGCAGTCATTCTGCGCACCGTGGAAAGCAGCTGTGACGCTGTGTTGAGATTGTATTCAGCAAGCACTCACATCATGCTTCATCGCCGTCAGATCAGAGGAATGTAAGCTAACGCTAAAAACAAATTCTGAAAATGTTCTTAATAATTATATTTGGACCCCATATGCGACGTCAGTCCGGGTAACCAGACCCGGGCAACGAGGGCCCCGGAGCCGTCCTCGCTCGCGTCCCCAGACGTGCCGGACGACAGAAAGAGGCGGCGAAACGAGGCTTCCAGCCCCGGGAACGTCCGGGAGCCTCAGCAGGCGCGCAGCTCTGGTTACGGGGCAAGATGCGCGCTGAGGGCGGTGCCACGGTAACGGCGTCGCCATGGTAACGGCGTCCGTCCCTGCGCGTGGGGTCTGGCGCTGGCCTCGCCCTCCCTGCAGACGACGACACTGAGCCTGGACGAGCCGGTAGTTTGCAAGGCCGCGGGGAGTGAGATTGGGATCCGGGGGGTCTGTCCGGGGTGCCCTGCGTCAGCGCCGACGTCGTGCCCTGGACGCAGCCACGCACACGTCGAGCTGCGTTCAGCGGCTCAGCCCGGATTCCTCAGAGCACTTCGCTCGTATTGGGCACGTTTTCAGGAAGGGTTGGCGTCTTTCCCCGCGTTACTGTGCCGTGCAGACTGCACCGGTGACACCAGCATCGGATGCAGATGATCCGGGTACTACCTGCTCATCGAACGGGTTCTCGCCAGCTGCAGGAATGTTTTATGTGCGTAATTAGAGGGAGGAGTATGTTGAACTAAGAGAGGGCCAGCTGCGGCCCTCCCGTGCGGGTCTTGTCTCATTTCCTCTGAGCTGCGATTCAGACGAGGCAGGGTGGAGCAGTGGGGTGGCGGCAGTGGGAGGTTTCGAGGTGCAGCACAGCGAGGCCCTTCTGCTTGGTTTGCAGCGCGCCTTGCTGCGGTCCCCGGCGCTGCAGTGGGGGGTTGGCAGTTGGCCTGATCCTGGCACCCCGTTTCCCCAGGCCACGTGTTGGGGGGTCCACAGCTTTGAGGACCACGTCCCCTATGGGAATGTGTCACTGCTAGATGAGCCACCCGGACCAGGGTCTCCGGAGGAGCCGCTCTGCCCTGTGGCCGTCGCACTGGGTGGGCTCAGGCAGTGGGTGGGCTCAGGCCAGGGCTGCTGCGAAGGCCCTGGAAGCCCAGGGCGGCCCCACAGCAAGGCCTCACCCAGCCTGCCGTGGCCACAGTGCCCAGGCTGGGAGATGCTGCCCTGGACAGCTGCAGGAAGGACGAGAGGAAGGGGGTAAATACTGACGTGGGCAGCCCTGACTGCCTGACTGCCGTGGCCCTCAGCTCCTGCAGGCAGCGAGTCTGGAGCCAGCGCGAGGGGATCGGCGTGTCCCCCCCACTGGGTGCTCCTGTGCGGCTCAGGCCCAGGACCCTGTACCTGTGACTTCTCTGCAAGGACGGTCAGTCAGGACCTAGGGAGTCCTCAGGAAGTCCCATAGCTGCTTTTAAAAAATACAGTAATGTACAGTCAATTTTATTTGCAAAGTGGACTTTAAATCTTCCATTTCATTTTTTTCTGTAGAAATCACTTATCTTTGCAGAAAGAGCTAAAATAATATTAACTTAGCACCTGTCGCTGGTGCAATTTAACTTGTTCTATCCTCAGAGATAAACACAAAACCAACCCACCACCCGACCATGGGCAGGGGACGTTCCCTCTGGGTCACAGGACCGGTCCGGTATCAAGTGCAAGAGTCTGCCTCGCTCAGGGCCACTTGGAGTTTAGTTTCTCACTATTAAACACTTTCCCTTGGTGCTGTTTATGTTGCAATAAAAGGAGCTCTAGGCCTCGGCGCCACATGACCCCGGCGTTCTTTGGGGTCCCGGCCTCCGTCTGTCACAGCCGACGTCCCCACCGCGCTCTCTGCGCCCACCCCACCTGCAAGCGCAGTCTGTCAGCTGACCTGTCGGTTTAAGACCCTTTAACAAGCAGACCCCTAAGTCTAATTCTCCTCTTGACAGTCTTTAAAGGCTGTGTGACACGAAATCTGGGTGTTTCTGCTGGTTTGGTATCAACGTTTATACCGTGGCCACTTTTGCTCCTAAGGGATGTGTGTCCAAAGGTCGAGCTTTTGTTTGCTTCTTTAACGTGGTCGTGAACTGTTAATGCAAAGGGTGAGGTGCAGTTTTTAAACCTGGCGGTGCTTTCTCAGCGCACCTGAGGCCGCAGCACAGCACTGCCCCACAGGTGCGCCCCAGGCCGCCACGCCTGCTCTCGGCAGAGCGCCAGGGCGCGGTGCTCTCCAGGCAGAACCGGCAGAGGAAGAGCCGGGAGTGGGCTCCACCATACAGGCCGGTAGGCAAGCAAGAAAGTCAGAAACCCTGAATCCAGGGAACTGTTCGCCTCTCTTCAGGGGTGCTGCTTAAGAGACATTTTCAACATACTTTTTTTTGGATGATAATATTTTTTAAAAATATATTTGGGTAGCTAATTTCTTGATATTTTATTTATATGAAATGGTTAATTCCCCAATCCTTTATTAATCCAGTAGCACGTGGTTTAGTGACTCCAGTGACAAAAGCAGACAATGGGAAAAATAAACAGGCTATTTTATCACAGTTTAACCTCTGCCCTCGATGTGTGTCCCACTCACAGTGGTAAATAATCGCTTAATTCTTTCAAGGAACATTTCTAAAGAATAGTTAAGCAAGACAGGTTGAAGGACTATTTTCACTACAGAAAATCTTAGTTTTATGAGGTAGTTCCTCATAATAGCAAAACATTTGAACGTGAAAAGTAAAAGAAAAATTTCTTAAAAATATAACGTTTATGGGGCTAAAAACCAAAGAAAATACAATAAGGATTAAATTGCAATTCAAAATGAACAAACTTTGGCATTTCGCTCCCATTACACATGCAGAAGCTTCTCAACAACTAGTCTCGGAGAGATGGCGCGACCAGCTCCCCGGAAGGCCACGCTCCCCGGAGCCCCAGGGCCCTCACGCAGACACCACCACCCCGAGCCTTCTAGCACCCTCATGATCTTAAATCACAAGCAAATAAGAGGCCAGGCGTGGTGGCTCACGCCTGTAATCCTAAGACTCTGGGAGGCCGAGGCGGGAGGATCGCTCGAGGTCAGGAGTTCGAGACCAGCCTGAGCAAGAGCCAGACCCCGTCTCTACTGAAAACAGAAAGAAATTAGCTGGACAACTAAAAAATATATAGAAAAAAAATTAG